AAGTGCCAAACCATGCTACCTTTGTGAATGTTACCTACAAACACACGTTAACGGGTAAAATGAATCCTGGCTGTATGCATATGAGCTACAAACATACTCTGATGGGCAAAGTTAAGTGGCAAACCGTCATACCTACTTAAATTGGTGCTGGAATTACTCTGTGACAGCAGAAATGTGCATAAACTACTTACGGTAGGACGTTTTGCCAAAGTAGGATGGTTTGTCAGAACACCGGAACACTTGACTCTTGCAAACTAAAACACAACCACTAGATGGTGGTAATGACCTTGACCTTTGTGGTGACTTAATCTGATCTCCCTGTGTAATGATAAGGCACAACAGACTGTACTTCAACCTGAGCCTACAATTACAGTGTCAGTGACAAAGCGCAACCTGAACCCAACCCTGTATCGTTAATAAACACTGTCCACCCTTAAATGTAATAATAATATGAGTGTGCATGTAATTTGTAGAGTTGATAACATGCAGACAGATTTGTTTACATGTTTAAAAATATAAAACCAGAATTACCACCTTGAAGTTGCTTCCACCAACCAGTCAAGCAGCAGCTTACATTGATGTCTGTCCACATTTTGCCAGTCTTTTGAAATCAATACATTTTGTCTTACTAGACATTTTTGTTAAATTTTGCATACAAATTAGGCAAAATTTCTAGAGTTATGGCCAAAAAGGTGTTTTATGAGGTCAAAGAGACCTTTGATTACCAAAAATCACAATAAGTGCATCCCTGAAACTAAATAAACTTTTGTTTTTGAACAAATCCCATCAAGTCTTCCAAGAAATATCAACTACATATACAGACAGCATTATCGCTCCCAGCAAAGGCTATTCCATTCACAGTGGTATAAAAACAGAGGTGAACTACAAGTTTATAACCAAATATAACTTCTAACCAATCAAAATCAAGTAGCAAGGTTACACAAATACCTGCAGAACACATAATCATTACATGCCATTTCACTTCACAGGTTTCTCTGAGCCCTGCTGTCAGGTTTCTGATAAATTAGCTGTGGAAATCTTTACTTAATCATTTGTCTGATCCAATCCTGACGTACAGGCCTGAGAAGGTGTTTGAGCACCACTTCCCTAGAATGTAATGTGGGTTGGGCAGAGGTGAGTCTAGGACGTCCATGCTTTCAACATTAGTCACCAGCTCTTTACTATGTGAGTCCAGCAGCATTTTCATGTCAAGTGAGCAAGCTGCATTCCAATACAGTCTTCAGTGCATGAGGCACGCATACTACGCTCTCTGTTTCCACAGAGCTGAGTGAAAACAGTCATTTGTAACAAAAACGCTGCAGAAAATGAGCAGCAGCCTGACTCACCCTGCTCTGCAGGTCCTGCTCTCTGTGGGCGCTGCGACTCCTCATCCTGGAAGGGCTTCCATCCACGGCACTACCTGCAGGAGCCGATCGTCGCGACACACTCCGAGACCGCAATCTGTTCAACTCCTGAGCAGCACAGAGGATCCAAAGTGAACACTGCGATCCAACTGCATCACCTCATAACAGTAAAAAGCTGCTCATTGTCATGCTGGAAGCTGGACAGTATAAAGTGAACTTCAGTCCACTCACGTTTAAACACTGCTTAGGTGTCAGTTTGTTGCTTTCTTGTGAAGTGTGACTGTAATTTGGCCACGTTTTTGTAATGTTGGTGTGTCTATTACCCGCAGCAATGCAACGCCACTTGCTCAAACAGAAGCACAATTCCTCAAGGTAACAGGAGTGTGGCTAACTGGAACTAACAACAAATTGATTTTTGTTTCTAAAACCAAAACATGTTATGGTTTATAATGTAATAATTAGCATGCATGGCCATGTCTACATCATTATGATCTAGACGTGGCCTGAGGAATCAGCTTTTTTGCTTTAACCCATTCTTGTGAACACAGTATCTCAGGAGCACCTAAAATATGGGACTCAAGAAATGCAAGTGATAATAATTCAGTGGTGAAAGGTTAAATGTTGCCCCCACAGTCACAAATACCTAATGCGTTTAACTTTAAATTACTTCAAAGTCTTCACTACATGTATTATACGAGTCTGAACAGACACAGATACACTGCAATCTAACTGGATGCAAGAGGCATCTTACTACATTATAGTTGTAAATACTTTATATCACATCTAAGTACTCCTTAGATATCTTGCAGACATGAGGATAATACTAAGGAATCATGAAAGAGAAGCAGCAGTGCTGAATCAATATTCCTTTTTTCACTTGAATTTTATTTGCATTTTGCTTGATGGTGACACAGCCTGTTGTAGTTATTAAGAAGCAAGAATTAGACTCATTTAGCCACTACGTCACCTAGCTCAACTACAATATGGCAACTCAGCTGGAGCCTCTTTTCGCCAACCAATTTAATCAGGGAATGATGGCACACAGAATAATGCACGCTAAAAATAAAAAAATATTAATAAGAATTTTGCGTATGCTTTTGCTTTGGGAACTTGGTGAGCTTTTAAAATGACAGGGTGAAAAATATATGATACCACCTGCATCATGAGAAGCTATATTTATGTTTTAGATGGTTTGTACTTCTACAAGAACAGATTGTTCTGTAAGATATCACAAAATGACCTGTATTTTCACAAGACTGCATGTCTCTGTGTGATAATCTGACTCCATCTGCACTGACAAACTAAGAAAATGATGACCTGATTTCTACAATAATTACAAAATAAAGTGTGGTAGTAAGGGGGACGGGTAGTTCATTGGCACCTCTGGAGCTGATCAATTGATTTATGTCACTCACCTTGGATCCCTGTGATCTCCTCGGGCCCTGTGCTTCTCCCCTGATCTTCTGTGGCTGAAGCTCTCTGGGCAACCAGATCTGCTCTGCAGGAGTGATGGCAGGGAGTCCACCTGGGGAGTTCACACTTTTAACCTCTGAACCAGGAAAAGGGCCCAAAGGGGGTGACTCATCCAGGAAAGCAGACCAAGGCCTTTGTTGAATTGGGATGCGTTCCCCATGATTGAGAAGGAGCTGTTCTGGACTGTGTTTGTTGGCGTGTTTTCTAGATTCAGCCTTAGGCTGGTCCACAGACATCTCAACTGACCGCAGCTCCCAGGGGTCCTGAGGAGGCGTCGTCCATACTGGGTTTGATAAACCTACTGAAGTCTGTGATGGTATCTTCCAGCTAACGTCACTTTCAGATGTAGGCTGTAATTTACCCCCAAAGTCAGCATTTAGTCCCTGCATTCCCAATGAAGGAAACAAGTCATTATTATAGGAGAGCTGAGCTTGAGATGTAAAGGAGTCTATGTCAAGAATGTTAGGCTTGTAAGGCTCCTTCCAGCGGGTTGCAGCATCGCTGCGTTGAGAAGTAGACTTAGACACTGGTTCATTTCTGAGCACAGAGTCCAGATCAAGAACTTTGGGTTTCAGATGTGATGGCTCCAACTTTAGCCTCTCTTGCTCCTCTTTTTTCTGCTTCTCTTTTAGTCGCTGTCTCTCTGCTTCTTGTTGCTTGGCTATGACTCGCATCCGTTCTGCCTCCTCCCTTTCCATCTTTTCCCTCAGTCTGTGTTTCTCAAACTCTGCAATTTGTTGTCTTTCCCTCTCTGCCTGCTTTTGCTTTTCATA